ATGGGTATTGAGGAGGGCACATTCTGCATGGAGCACTGGGTGTTATGCACAAACAATGAATCATGGAACACTACATCTAAATCTAATGATGTAATGTATGGGGATTAACATAAGAATAAAAAAATTTAAAAAAAAAAATGATGTTTTAGTCATAGGGATATAAAAAAAAAACACACTAAAAATAGCCCTAATCTCCACATTTTTAAAAACTACGTTTTCAAGTTTTGTTTATTTACTGTCTACAGCCCACGTGGGGCTTGAACTCACGACCCCAAGATCAAGAATCATGCGCTCTTTCAACTGAGCCAGCCAGGCATCCTTTAAGCTCTACATTCTTGTTTTTGTTTTGTTTTAAGATTTTATTTATTTGACAGAGGGAGAGCGTGTGCACAAGCAGGGGGAGAAGCAGACAGAGGGAGAAGGAGAAGCAGGCTCCGCACTGAGCAGGGAGCCCGATGTGGGGCTCGATCTTAGGACCCTGGGATCATGACCTGAGCCGAAGGCAGACGCTTAACCGACTGAGCCACCCAGGCGCCCCTAAGCTCTCTATGTTCTTAATCACCTGCTAGTGTAACTGCTCTGGGTTGCTGTGAAGTTAGCAAGACAGTGTTCTGTCTGAGGCAACAATGTCATCATAATTAGAGGAGTGAGTTAGTGAAGTTCTAGAAGAGAAGTCTCTCCCTACTGGCCGTGATGGCCTCAGGGAAAGACACTTGTCCTATCTTACCTAAGCTTGCCAACAGCTGTTGTGAGGAGAGTTCATATAAGCCTTCTAATAAGTGAGGACTTGAGGGTTCCGGGTTTGGGGGTTTTGTGTTCGGTTTTGTTTTGTTTGCCCTCCGGGAGCGACACACAGATGAGGACAAACATTTTGTGCTTCCCTTGGCATCTGTCTAGAAAGCTTGATGTTTCAGAGGGAAACAGTGGGTGGGCAGGGAAAGCAAGTCTGCCCTGAGCATAAAGCCGGTACTAAATTCCGAAGCTGTTGTTTGTGGCTGGTCAGAGACATATTTAGGCCACGGGCGGGCCTGGGGCAAATCATGGTGTGCTGCCTTCTCTCTTAGTATCAGGTTAAAGGAACACTGCAAGCAAGATGTAAAAGACAGCATGCAGTTGGAGGTACAGATATTCAGGCCGGACTCCTGATCTTGGTGATACTTGGAGTTTTAATGGGTTCAGTATTAGATGAGCCTCAAACAATGCCATAGCTCTCTGTCCTGCAGCTGGGGGGTTCAAACATCATGGACACAACACATGAATAACGCTACAACGAGTGTATTGAACTCACCAGATATCCTTCCTTCCTGCCTTCCTAATCTTCAGGTGTAATGAGGTTCATTTACCACGGTTTTCATTAAAGCAAGGGATGATCCCAAGACGTTACATTATGCCTTGGAAAGAAAACATGAAATTCAGGAATGTGAATCTGCAGGTATTTTCCTATAAATGTTCATAATAAAAAATTCATAGTTAAATAATATACTTTAATATACCTGTGAATAAATATGTAACTATACAAAAGCTATTTTTAAATTTATATTTATTTTTTCCAGCTTTATTGGGAATAATAAATATATGTATTTAAAGTAGACAACATGATGACTTGATAAACATACACACTGTAGAATAATTACCAGGATCAAGATAATTAACACATTCATCACCTCACAGTGTTAACTCATTTTTTCTTCTGGTGAGCTTAAGGTCTACTCTCTGCAACTTTCGAGGATACAATACTGTATTATTAACTATTGTTACTAAGCTGAACATTAGATCTTCAGAACTTGGTCTTATAACTGAAAGTTTGTGCCCTTTGACCTATGTCTCCCCATTTCTCCCTCCTCTAGGCCCTGGTAACCACCATTCTATTGTCCGACAAAAACTAGAAGCTATTTGATGTACTTTCACATAAACTTGCAAGGAACAGTTAAATAGCAACATCTATTCAGATATTTGAGGCCAAAGACAAACTTAAAATAGATACACCCAAAGCTTTCAGAACTCTCTGTCTACCTTTCTCCACATAATGGCAACTTGCAATTATGAACTAACTCAGGGGCGCCTAGGTGGCTCAGTCAGTTAAGTGTCTGCCTTCAGCTCAGGTCATGATCCCACTGGGATCATGCCCTGCATCAGGCTCCCTGCTCAGTGCAGATTTGCTTGGGAGTCTCTCTCCCTCTGCCCCTCCCCTTGCTCATGAGATCTCTCTCTCTAATACAATAAATAAAATCTTAAAAAAAAAAAAGTAAAATAGGAGCACCTGGGTGGCTCAGCTGGTTAAGCATCTGCCTTCAGCTCAAGTCATGATCCCAGGGTGCTGGGATTGAGCTCCGCATCGGGCTCCCTGCTCAGCCGGGATCCTGCTTCTCCCTCTCCCTCTGCTACTCCCCCTGCTTGTGTTCACTCACTCACTCTGTCAAATAAATAAATAAAATATTTTAAAAAAAAGTAGAATAGAATCTATTGTAATAGACTATAATAGGAGATTTCAAGTTAGGATTCCTAGAAAGAAAAGGGTTTGCATAAATTTCTAAGTTTCTAACAGCTAAGCAATTAAGCTTGAATAAGAATATACTTTACCAAGAGATAACATAATAAAATATGAATACTATATGATATATAAAATATATCAAAAATACAGCTTAATTATTTTTTTTACAAACTACAAACAATACAGTAAATGAAGCTGCCATTAGCCCTGAAATGATTATTTTGTATGTATTTTTATCTGATATTTTGGAAACAAATATAAAATGGAGGAAATCTAGACTCAACATATCAAATTTACCTGTATTAAGACTTCTCTGTGGTCTTAATATTGGACTGTATTTCTTTTTTTTTTTTTTTAAGATTTTTATTTATTTATTCATGAGAGACAGAGAGAGAGAGAGGCAGAGGGAGAAGCAGGCTCCCAAGGAGCAGGGAGCCCGACGCGGGCCTCGATCCCAGGACCCTGGGATCATGACCTGAGCCGAAGGCAGACGCTTAACCCTCTGAGCCACCCAGGCGCCCTGGACTGTATTTCTTATAATTCAGTGGCTTGTCAAGTCATTTTTCGTGTCGCAAATAGCTTGAGCATGGTGAAAATATTAGTGCTGACTTTATCTTTTCCATTTGCCAGAATTACGGGGTGTATAAACTTTGAGCTGAAGTCAACAACGAAAAGCTGTTTTGAATATGTCTTGACCTCCCTCTTGAGAGCTACAATCCAGCGTAATTTTCTCTTCACTGTTTCACTTGTGCAATTTAGTTGACAGCACTCCTGACAATTTAAAAAATAATATTAGTGACTGGTGTAGAGGAAATTCTCCCTGACAGAGTAAAAATGAAAATTAAGTGAGGGGCGCCTCCTTGGCGTCCGTCTTCAGCTCAGGTCATGATCCTGGGGTCCTGGGATCCTTGCTCAGCCAGGACCCTGCTTCTCCCTCTCCTTCTCCCTCTGCAACCCCCCCACTCATGCACACGCATGCACGCACTTGCTCTCTCTTGCAAATAAATACAAACTCTTTTTTTTTAAAGATCTTATTTATTTATTTGAGAGAGAGAGGTGGGGAAGGACAGAGCGAGAGGGAGAAGCAGACTCCCCTCTAAGCAGGGAGCCCGACTCCGGGCTCCATCCCAGGACCCTGGGATCATGACCCGAGCTGAAGACAGACTGAGCCATGCAGGCGCCCCTAAATACAAACACTTAAAAAGAAAAAAAAAGAAAATTGAGAACTGAATGAAATGAATGTAGCCTGGGTGAATGCCAGCTATGTTTTCCTTCCTTCCATTTACCTTCACCATTTTTCCCGCTGGAGAGGATGTAACTATGCAACATCACAGTGAGAACACAGCCTAGTGGAGATGGGGCTGCACCCCAAGACCCCCCCCAGAGTGCGATTCAGCGCAGAAGTAGATGCATATGTAAGACAGTGGCTCAAGTGCCTGCTATTTCTCCAGGCCCAGGTGCCACGGCAGCAGCATAGTGAGTATTGATCTCATACTGCGAAGTTGGCCAAAGTCTTTTCATTCACATATAATGTTTTATTCAACACTCAAAGAATCCTTGACTAATACCCATTTCATATTTGAGAAAACCGAGTCTCACAGCGGGGTAAGTGACTTGTACAAGGTCCCACAATCAGTGAAGGACTACATGATTAGTCAGCAGTCCACACCACTCTTCCTGGTGGTCCAGACACGAGCTAGAGATCATCGCCTTAAAGAGAAAAAAAAAAAAAAAGGATGTTGGGGCGCCTGGGTGGCTCAGTCATTTAAGCGTCTGCCTTCGGCTCAGGTCATGATCTCAGGGTCATGGGATCGAGCCCCACATCGGGCTCCCTGCTCAGCGGAGAGTCTGCATCTCCCTCTCCCTCTGCTCCTCCCCCTGCTTGTGCTCTTTCTCTTTCTCAAATAAATAATAAACAAAAATCTAAAAAAAAATAAAAATTGAAAAGGGATGTTATAGTGCTCTGTTCACTAGACCTTCCTTAATTTTTAAAAAATATTTTATTTATTTATTTATTAGAGAGAGTCCGCTCAGGGGATGGAGCACAGGGAGAGGGACAAGCAGACTCCGCGTTGCATTCTTGAGTGCAGAGCCCATCGCGGGGCTGAACCCCAAAACCCTGAGCTGAAAACCAGGAGTTGGGTGCTTAACTGACAAGCCATCCAGGCACCCCTAGACCTTCCCTACTTAGGAAAAACTATTGAGGAATCTCCATCCTCCTCTAATCAAGTGCTGTTTGGTGTGATTTACAGTGGGATCTTTTTCCCCCCCTTAGCACGCAGAAGCGTGTGGGATCCATGCTGGCCCTTTAGAAGACTCTCTGTTTTTGAATCACAGCGAAAGGCTTTGCCATGGGGAAGACCGGAAAGTTGTCTTGAAGAAAGGCCCCCCAGAAATAAAAATTGCCGATATGCCTCTGCATTCACCACTCTCCAGATACCAAAGCACTGTGATCTCCCACGGCTTCAGGAGGCGACTGGTCTGAGGCTGGAAGAATAAAGTGTCGCAGTATTTCAATCTCAATCTCTTTCTCTCTCCACAAATTTAAGCCCATTGTACCATTGTGTTTCCCCTACAGTTTCAACTTGTTTAAAGGCTACAAGTCAGTTGTACTCTTGATCCATTATACAAGTTTTTGAAAGCAAACGAGCTCTGAGAACATCGGAGTTGAAGAGGGTGGGGGGTGGGGCAAGGCAGACTCTCAGTGAAACTAATTTCATACCCAAGAGTTAAGACGTTTAACTGATGGATCCCATCCAACCATCTAGCCTCACTGTGTTCTTCTTTCCCTTCTCCTCACTCCTTTGCTGTTCATCATCTTCCAAAACTCAGGGTCAGAGGAGCCTCACTGAGAAAGAGTGGCAGGATGTGGAGTTATTTCTGCTGCTTTTCTGCCTGCCCCAGCACCACCTTTCCGCCCCACCTCACCAACACACCTCCCCCCACCAAGGCCATGGGTCCTGGCAACGATTTCACATGGTAATTTGAAGTGTTTGGCAGATACCTCTATGATACACCGCACGATTTCAGCTGTAGTGTATTTTTTGTATTGGTTCAGTGTATCCAAGCACTGTATTCCTGCAGCAAAGAATGGATGAGTGTAATTTAACCTAAATGGTGCACCACCTGGGAGGAGGGTGTAGTGGTTTCTCAAGCAATTAAACATAGAATTACGTTATGATCCAGGACTTCCCCTTCTAGGTATAGAATTGAAGGCGGGGGGTGGGGGGGAGGGTGCAACTGGCTGGCTCAGGCGATAGAACATCCAGCTTCTGATCTCAGGGTTATTGTGGGTTCGAGTCCCACACTGGGTGTAGAGATTACTTTAAAAAAATCTTAAAAAAAAAAAAAGATCTGAAAGCAGGGACTTGAGCACATATTTGTGTGTCAATGTTCCAATTGTGTGTCAACTCTCTCTAATAAATAAATAACATTTTCACAAGACCCAAGATGTGGAAACAACTCAAGTGTCCACCGACAGATGAATACATAAGCAAAATGCAGTATATGCATGCAATGGAATATTATTCAGCCATAAAATGTCCTGAAATTCTGATACATGCTGCAACATGGAGGAATCTTGAAAATATTGTGCTAAATTTGTCCACAAAAGGACAAAAATTGTATAATTCCTCTTAGATACCTGGAATAATCAAATTCCTAGGGAAAGAAAGAGTAATAGTTACCAAAAGCAGCAGAGGAGGGGAGAATAGGGTTTCTGTTTAATGGGTACAGGGTTTCAGTTTGAAATAATAAAATTCTGGAGAAGTTGCAGGACAAGGTAAATGTACTTACAGCCACTGAATTATACATTCAAAAAGGGTTAAAGTGAATTTTATGTCATGTATATTTTACCACAATTTTCTTAAAGATTCTTTTTATTTTTTAAGTAATCTCTACATCCAAATGGGGCTTGAACTCAAAACCCCAAGATCAAGAGTCGCCCGCTGTACTGACTGAGCCAGCCAGGCATCCCTTACCACAGTTTAAAAAAGATCATAGTTGGTCTAAGCCATACTTCACCCACCCAAGTGTTCATATATGATTACCACATGAAGGAAACTGTTATAAAAAAGGACAAAAATGTCCATCTGACATCAACTCAAAGATCACTAAAGTATAAATAAAGTAAAAAAAAAAGTGTATATATAGAGGATGTTAAAAATTATTAAGACAGTTTAGGTGATACAAACTTTATTTAACACTTTAAGTGGATTGCTTCTACTAGGAAAACTACAGAATGGAGTGGAAGGCAAGAAGCTTTTATAGGATAAAGAATAAGAAACAGGGACACCTGGGTGGCTCAGCCAGTTAAGCGTCTGCCTTCTGCTCAGGTCATGATCTCAGAATCCTGGGATCAAGTCCCACGTCGGGCTCCCTGCTCAGCAGGGAGTCTGCTTCTCCCTCTGCCCCTCCCCCTGCTTGTGCTCTCTCTCTCTCTGACAAATAAAGTCTTAAAAAAAAAAAAAAAGAATAAGAAACAAGGGAGGAAGTACACAATCCATAGTTGGCTTGGGATATACTGCATTTCTGATCAGGCAGAGCATTTTCAGGGACCGGACAGTTATCTAAGCTTTGTTTTGCTGACGTGACATCCTGGGCTGGAGCAGCTCCATCTTGGGCTTAGAAATCTCTGGGATTTCCAAGGTCAGAAAAGCCAATTGATGTGTTTTTCACATACCGAGAACATTGGTGATCATATTTGACTTTAGTTAGCTTCCTGACAAGCTGAGGGGCCGCCAAGTGCAGGTCTGGCAGAGAAGGGGAGTCTGGCTGAGAAGATGAGCAGGAGTTGGAATGTAGCCAGCAATCCACTCACCATGCTGTGTGCATCTCTGTGCATTAATGGGGGTCCTGGCAATATGGAGACCATATAAAAGTATTCATTGAAACTCCTCTGGCTTTTACATGATTTACCAAGAGAAGCCTGGCTATCAGAATACATCTTTTTCTTCTTTTAAGAATATGGAAAGGGGCAACTGGGTGGCTCAGTTGGTTAAGCGTCCGACTCTTGAGCTCAGCTCAGGTCTTGATATCAGGGTCATGAGTTCAACCCCATGTCAGGCTCCATGCCCAGTGGAGCCTACTTAAAAAAAAAAAAAAAAAAGAATATGGAGAAATAGGTGTGATAAAACACTGAATGAAAAATCAGGGGCGCCTGGGTGGCTCAGTCATTAAGCGTCTGCCTTCAGCTTAGGTCATGATCCCAGGGTCCTGGGATCGAGCCCTACATCGGGCTCCCTGCTCCGCGGGAAACCTGCTTCTCCCTCTCCCACTCCCCCTGCTTGTGTTCCCTCTCTCACTGTCTCTCTCTCTCTGTCAAATAAATAAATAAAAAATCTTATTAAAAAAAAGAAAAGAAAAATCAGGATTTATGCAGTTTTGTGGACAAAAAAGAATATATGTCACCAGAAAACAATGCAGAAAGCCATGCACCAGAATATTTATATAGTATAATTTCTGGATGGTAGAGTTATGAATGATTCTTATATCCTGTATCTTTATAAATTATCTACAGTAAATATGTATTTTATCATCAGAAAAGAAAGAACACTTCCACTCCTGTACACACTGCTCCCTATGTGTGGGATCATCCCTCTCTCTGTTCTGCTTGTCAGAGTTCAGCCGCAAAGTCAATGTCAACTCTTAGACGAAACCTGTTTCGTGTTTCATCTTGCCGCCTTCACTTTCCCCACGTTGGTTCTCCGCCTAAGACTTCTGCTTCTTGACCAGAAGAGGTCTCTGTTGCATTGCTCAAGAAAAACAAATTTTTTTTAAAAAATGTTTATTTAATGAATGAAAACTGTCTTTGCTGTTGGAGAGATTATAATATTATAGAAGTCGAGAGAAAAATTCTTCAGTGCCTCCATAACTAACAAATTTCCAAACTATTTTATCAACAAACGGTAGCTTGAACCCTGAGGATTAACTCCATTAGTACCTAGCACTTTGTAGAGTCACAGAAGAATTTTATTTCATCTGTAAAAAATTGAAAGTAGAAAAAGAGAGAACAAGGGAGTATGCATTTAAACAGGAAATCGTATGTTTTCTAGGGACAAATTAAAAACCATCAGGGAAGTGCTTCGGAGGGTATGGGCTTTATAGTTAGGCTGACCTGGACCAAATTCTGACTCTGGTACTTACTGTGTGGCTTGAAGTGAGCTAATGGGGCTAGTGATAGTTAGTTCAGAGGGTTGTTGTAAATAGTCTATCAGATTACCTGTAAAGTCTTTAGCATGACGCAAAATACCACTTATATATTTTTCTTAGGCCTATGGATGGGCATACGGGTTAGATTGCCAGTTATATTTTATTTTTTTTATTTTTATTTTTATTTTTTTAATGATTTTATTTATTTTTTTGACAGAGAGAGACATAGCGAGAGCAGGAACACAAGCAGGGGGAGTGGGAGAGGGAGAAGCAGGCTTCCCGCAGAGCAGGGAGCCCGATGTGGGGCTCGATCCCAGGACCCTGGGATCATGACCCGAGCCGAAGGCAGATGCTTAACGACTGAGCCACCCAAGCGCCCGCCAGTTACATTTTAGCAACTATGGCTGATTTAGTTGCAAAGTAGCTTTTTCTGGGAGGAAGAATATAGTGAATTCAGGAAGTAGAAATTCCCTGAAAATGAGAACAGGAACATTTTCCTTTTCTTCCCCCCGACCCCCGGCCAAGAAGAGGAACATATTTCACATGCCATTTTGGCTTCAAATATTCTCGCCTCAGAGAAAACCAAAAAATTCACACCTCTAATCTCTTTTGCAGGCTAAGCTGGAATTCCTACTCCAAGCTGCATGTTTCAAATAATTGTCTCACCGAGAGTCTCAGATTCATCAGAGGAGCTTCTCATCTTCCCTGCTCTTTTCTTCTTGGACCTACTTTTTTCTCCCAGCCTTGCCTATTTCTGAAATTAGCTAACATTGATAAATACCATCAATAAATAATACACCCATATTCTCAGTTTTCTGGGTCTCAGAAATCACTTTAGAGTCCTGCTCCCCTCCCTGACCAAACCGTTCAGTCTCTTCTGTCCTTGTAGGTGGAGAGTGGTGTACACATGGCTGTCCCCTCTTTCTTTCCCAGGGAGGATCTACTCTCCTCCTCGCACCAAGTGACTTGCAATAACCTCCTCACATGTTCCCTGTCCTCTCTCTCACCTTCCCCGTAAGCATGTGAGGACAGCTCAGGTGGTCCTGCAAGCTGCTACTAGTCATTTTGCTAATGCCCTCTGTGATTCCTCCATGCTCCTGCTCAAAAATCATTCATGGAAAGTTCTGGAGCTGGCTGGTAGTGATGGCTGCACAGCAGTGTGAATATACTCAATGTCACTGGACCTATCCACTTTATTTATTTATTTATTTATTTATTTGAGAGAGAGAGAGAAACAGCATGAGAGGGGAGAGGGCCACAGGGAGAAGCAGGCTCCCCGCTGAGCCGGGAGCCCGATGTGGGACTCGATCCCGGGACTCCAGGATCATGACCTGAGCCGAAGGCAGTTGCCCAACCGACTGAGCCACCCAGGCACCCAAGCACCATCATTTCTTTTTTTTTTTTTTAAAGATTTTA